TGGAACACTCATGAATGGTAGTTGGTTTTGTTGCAGTACACACTATTCAAAGCAAAGTTATTACTGTATTCCATTCATAGCAAAGTGCTATTACCACAACAATAGGTTAAGACTATCACCTGAACTCTCCTTTTCACTATTTTCCAATGCTCTCCTCCGAGCACCCTGACAAGCCCTGTCCTTAAGCCACATCCACACATCGACTCAGCAAATACCTCTGAGTGTTCTAGCCGCCGTTCCGCCACCGGTGATACAGCAATGCATGAAGCAGGCAAACATGGCTGCTGCAAACAGCTCACATGCTGGTGGAGACAGACAGGCAATAAGTAAGTAAAATGTACAGTGGACTGGTTCTCAGAGTGAGGCCCCCGTCCGGCAGCAGCAGCGCCTGGCAGCTTGTGAGAAATGCACATTCCTGGGCCTCCTCCAGACCCACAGACTCAGAGGCCTGGGGGTGGGCCCGGCAGACAGGTTAACAAGCCTCCCAGGCGAGTCCCCTCCCAGGTGACTCTGGTAAGTGCTCGGGTTTAAGAACCACTTGATACGATGTCAGTGATAATCAGTGTATTGGACTAAAGCAGGAAATGGGGCGGGTGCCCGGGTGAGGAGGGGGTTGCAATTTTATTTTATTTATTTTACTTTTTATATTTTTATTGATTTCACAGAGGAAGGGAGAGGGAGAGAGAGATAGAAACATCAGTGATGAGAGAGAACCACTGATCGGCTGCCTCCTGCACGCCCCACAGTGGGGATCGAGCCCGCAACCCTGGACATGTGCCCTGAGCAGAAATCAAACTGTGACCTCCTGGTTCATAAGTCGACGCTCTATCACTGAGCCACGCCGGCTGGGCTGGGTTTGCAGTTTTAATAGGGTGGTCAGAAAAGCCTAACTTTGATGACGACATCTGCTCAAAGATACAAAGAGGATGAGGGAATGGGCCTCCAGGGGAAGACTGTTAGGCAGGAGGAATGGCAACTGCAAAGGCACTGGGGCAGGAGCAGCCTGGGGTGTTCAGAGAACAGCAGTTGGACTGGGATGAGCAAAAGAGAGAGAGCGGGAAAAGAGGTGGAAGGTCATGGGGCTCCAGACTGCCCATGTACGGAATGCATGGGGGCCACTGTCTCCAGGAAGTCTTCCCTGATCATCGCCTTCCCTGATCCATCCACAGTGGGGGCCATGCAGGGCTCAGTATGGGACTCGTCTATTAGGGACACCTAAGCCATTGCAAAATGTTTGACATTCCCATATTGGAACATAGTTTGTCCACAAACATTCTACCTCTTCCTATGTAGGTTAGAGCCCTCCCTCACCCCAGCCCACCTGCCTGGCCTGGTCAGTGGCCCTAGGCCATCCCTCTCTTCCTTAGATGCCCCACCCCATGCTGTCGGAACGGGGCTCTCCCATCCCTGACGCCACAGGCGCCTTGGTTTACCCCCAGCCACATGCATAGGCCTGGCCTGTATTTTGCCCTGTTGGGTTGTATCCACCTGAAAGAGAAACGTAGTCCTTCCCCCCTGTCCTCCCACTGCCCATCACAGTGTCCGTGCATTGCAGTGTTACAGAAATATTTACCGAATTTCCCTTAATGCATCGGGAGAGAAACCAACGCATTACTGGCACTGGCTAAGTATTACAAATGTTGCCAATGATTTTGCAAATTCCCTCAGAGGTAATAAGAAAAGAAATTTATAGATTTATTCTCCAACCACCGAAGCATTTTGGATGCAGTTGTAGGACTCGCCCAGAGTTTGACTGAAACCTGCAGAGTCACGCCCGATCCCCAGCCCCTCTCCCTGTGCCTGGTGCCTGCTGGGCCCTGTGCTGGCGATGGCTTGAGTAGAGTATCAAGGGAGTATCCTCGATTTACTGCTAGCCTGGGCCAACAGGAACCTGGGCCAACAGGGACCGGGTGGGAGGTGGGTTTGAATTCCTGCTCCACCCACAAGGGGTTCTTCCCTTTTTCTTTTTTTATTATCATGAATCCCGTGAGCATCTGGGGAAGCCTGGGGGCTGTTTTAGGACTAGGTTTTAAAATAAAACATAAGATTAAAGAGGAAACAGATTTTACTGACATAGAATTAAAATTATGTTAAAAGTTATCAGAAGGCCCTCCCCTCCCATCCCTTTCCCTCCCTTCCCTCCCCTCCCCACAAAAAAAAGTTATCAGAAGATTAAAAAAATAAATTTGTTAGAGTAATATTTTTGCCTCCTCGTTCAGTAACACGATCTAGAGGCAAATCTAATCAGGGCCAAACCCCTGACATAACACTGAGCATAGAGTGGTGCTGAGCTGCTCCCAACGACCGTCACATGACAGGGAATGAGCTGCACTTCCTGCTGCTGACATGGACCCAGTACTGCCATTGCTGCAGTGGTTTGTGGGTACGCTCACGATGGAAGGAAATGCCAGATTTTTAGTCTGTCTCAGACTGTGAGCGGTGAGTAGGGGGAATAATATTGCTCCATCCTATTTCATTCTGTATGCTATGCAGAGATCCTTTAGCCCCAGAATAGAAGTGGGGACAAATTCCCTCTCTCAATTTCAGTATTCATATCTGTAAAACGATGCCTACTAAATGGCAGCTATATTTCTAGCAGGAGCGGTAGGAGTTAAAGACTCCCTGTAAATAGTCTGGAATATGCTCTGGGTCCCTTCTTCGTTCTAATCTAACCCTCCAGCACTCATATTTTCCGAATGAGAACTCCTACTCCCCAAGTGTCCCCGCCCACCTTGGGGAGGACAGCCTGGTGGGAAGGGACGCCCAGCAAAGAGTACATACTCCTGGTGCAGTCACCCCACCTGCAGCCACGCCCACCTGCAGCCCTAAGTTAGGGAGGGGCACTGGCGAGTCCAGGAAGAATTGTGGGGGCTACAGAAAAGGGGACAGTACTTGGGACAATCTACCCTAACTCACACCTCCTCCACAGGGTGCCTGGAAGACTCGATTGTTTGCCAAACAAGGTCCTCTTTATGTCTATAGTCATGGTCTCAGCGAGGATTTTCTCAAAGCCCACCAGTACAGTCCATGATACCTTGCCTGTGCCCACCTGGCCCATGTCTTCTAACTCGATCTCCACTTAAGTTCCACCGTAAAATAGTGTCTTCACTCTCCTTGAGTGACATGAAGTTGGGCTTCCACGCACTGGAAAGGGATTTCCTCTTGGCCGAGCCCTCGGAATTGTTCTCTTCATAGACCATGCGATTTCTTCAAGCTCCACCGTGCGCAGCGCCTCAGACCGGTTTGCATCCGAGTCACCCAGGAATCCGGCGAATCCAGGCGGCTGGGTCCACCCCCAGCGACTCCGATTCTCTAGGCTGGGGGGCAGGGGGGCGGGGCGCTGAGAATTTGCATTTCCAACACACTCCCAGGTTTCTTTACCTCTGGGAGCCCGTTTCTTTATTATTAAAACAGGGCTGTCAAGGAGATGAGAAAAAGGTGAGATATGTAAATATATTCAAAGCACTAAGCCCCTAACAGAAATTTAATAACTACTCTTTCCCTGGAAGGCGCACTGTGGGAAGAAGGCTGAGTCTTGAAGAGGCAGCAGAAATGAGCTGGGGAGGAAGGGAGTGAAGAAACAACAGTGCTGGGTGCTGGGGTGCATGGAAAACACAGACCATTGAGAAGCTGCCAGCAGCTCATGGGTCACATGTATATATGCAGGGACTTGATCATAAGGGCCTTTGTGCTGTTACACACACAGACACACACACACACACACACACACACACACACACACATACACACGCACACACACACACACACGCACACACACGCACACACACACACACACACACACACACCAGGCCAAAATGGAGTCACTTTTGCTAACCGAGTCGCCAAATCAAAACTCCATAACCAACAGCATTGCAGCGTCAGCCTCTCCCAGGGGTGGAGCTTGAAACCAATCTGACATGTCCTACTCAATCCTCAGGTGCAAGTGAGATCCACAGGAACAGATGAAATAGCCCTGAGGGCCGAATGCCGGGAACAGCAACATTTATGAGTAATCCCTAATGGAGCGCAAGTCAAGGTTAATGACACCGGGTGGGGCTCATAATATCGGTGAACAAGTAAACTCTGGTTTAAGCGGACATCAAGGTCTGCTTGATCAGTGGCACCCACAGCACCCAGTGCAGCACTCAGGCGGGAGAAGCAATGCAAGAAAACATCCCCCAGAGGCGACAGGGCCCGGCCGACGTGGCTCAGTGGTTGAGCATCAACCTATGAACCAGGAGGTCACAGTCCGATTCCCAGTCAGGGCACATGCCTGGGTTGTGGGCTCCATCCCCAGGGGGGGCCGTGCAGGAGTCAGCCAATCAATGGTTCCCTCTCATCATTGCTGTTTCTGTCTCCCTCTCCCTTCCTCTCTGAAACCAAGAAAAATATATTTAATAATAATTTAAAAAATAGGCCATAGGGACCATGCGGGGAGCTAGAGGGAAGACAGCTGATCATCATTAGGAGGTGAAGGCGATCCTCATATGCAGGTGAGCAGCGGCCCTTGTCCGTCGCCCTCTGCAGATGGGTCTGTTCTCTGAAATCTGTTGTGTGAGTGAGACTCCCCTGATGTGCCAAAGCCTAGAAATCATCTGGGAGAAAGACACTGAACCACGAGTCGTCACAGAAATAAATAACGTTCCCTTTCTTCTTCTTTAAGACAGTCAAGACCCCCACATGGGTCTGATTTCATCCGGCCCCAGCTCTCCTGCCGGGCTCAGCCGCACCAACATGGACCAGCAGGGTCCGTGCAGCCCAGGCCTGAGCGCTCGCCTTTCCTGCCACCGGTTCCTGGCCGGGCTGACCCGAGGAGGACAAATGACCCGCCAGCCAGGTAAGGGGAGCGAGGAAACTAGCCCGGGGTCTGCGCTCTTCCTCTGCGGGACAGACCCAGAGAGGAGGCCCAAGACTGGACCGCTGGAGGGGATTCCTGTAACCCTGTCTCCGCGTAGGGAAACCCAGTGCTTAGGAAAACACAAGCTATCAGATAAACGGGGACAATTTCAAATGTATTCCCCCCTTGAAGAGTGATGCAAGTAGCCGTTTATTCTCTCTCGTCTTAGGGAATACATTCTGCAGACAATCAGGCACCTGCCAGGGCCTGGACCTCCCCCGATAATGAACCGGCCTTTGTTATCCTCAAAGATGTTTTCTAAGAAAACCTGTGGCCCTACTCTTGGAAAAATGATTTCACAGAGCTTGGGCCTGGGTGTGGCCGCTCGGAAGGGGACGGGGCTCTGGTGGGACTGTCACAGGCTGAGAGAAAGTTTTCATCGGAAGGAACGGGAACACCCGTACTGGTGGAAATCCCGTCTCCGTAGACCTGTCCCTATTACGGCGGGTGGGGAGAAGCAATTCTGAGTCCATCAAGCTATTGAAACAGCCCAGCATCAGGGGAAAGGCCTCCTCAGAGGACACCCGGTAACACCTGTACACCTGTGCCTCCAGGAGTGCCTGGGGCTGGAACGAACTCTTCTCACAGGCGGCACCTGTGAGCCTTCTGGAAAGATTGGTTCCCGCCTGCCATGACTCCTGGGAATGCTAAGGCTCAAAGCTGTGCGTCTAAAGAGAAGATCTCCGAAGGCAGTGCCCCAAGGGAGGGAAGGCCTAAGGGGCCTGGTTCCCCGGAGGAGGGGGGCTCGGTGGGTGCTCCCTCGGCCCCATGGTCATGTCTGCAGTTCCCGCTGAGCTCCCCCAGGTGGGCCTGGCCCGGCATCTGCCCATCAGGCCCAAGCCCAACAGGAGTGAGACGGCTTCTCTCCCGCGTGGTTTCACAGTAGATGCATCTTCACAGGGAGGAACTGCTCGCACCAGTCCCTGGACCACCTGCCGGAGACGGAAAAGCTGTTCTCCCGGGTCAGACGCTGAATCAGTCCTGCTGGTGGGATGAGGTAAGAATTCGCTTGGGCGGCGCCAGAGCAATTGTTCTGCTTGTTTATTTGTTTGCTATGGGACATTTCCCCAAAGAAAACCCACAGGAGCACATTGTGTAAAGGCCCAGCTGGCCGGTGGCGTCGGGAGTCGGTTCTCTCGGTTCCCTTCCCTCCTGGGCTCCCCTGCCCCTCCGAGGCCTCCTTCGGGTCACCCAGGATCCCCAGGGATCCTCCATGAATATCGCTAAGTGTGGGCTCCCGGGCTGGATTCCTGCACAACTAGGCTCCATGAGCAAGGCCCCTTTCCAGCAGAGCCCGGCTCACTTCGTCTGGTCTGTCCTGTGCCTGCTGCTGCCCGGTGCCCCTGGGAGACCCCGGTACGAAGCCGAGACAACCCGGCAGCTCCCACCCAGGACGGGGGCTGTGGCGGGTCTCCTGGAATTCCATTCGTCCAGGCCCCGATCCAGTAAGAGCCTCGTGGCTTCCTCCTCTGACTCCCCCTAATATTCGTTGTCAGCAGCTATGAATAACACCCACATTCCAGAGCTACCCCAACGGACTGAATTGATCATCTCAGAATGAATGTCTGTAATACGTGCACCAAAAGCTAACCAGTGCGTTCTGGTGGGGGAGGAGGAGAGAAGGGCTACCTTATTTCCAAGCGTCTCGTGGCCACAACCCACTTGAGGTGCTGTCGTTGCTGCTCCTGAATAATGCAGAGGCAGGGTCACACGTGTCACGGAGGGAGCCTATAATTAACATCGGAGCACACGCATTAGACTCTAAATTGACTCTGCTTGTTCTTAAAAGGGTGGGGGGAGAGAGGGAGAGGGAGCTTGGCCTCGATTTTTATTCAGGGAAACAGCCTTTTGTGGTTTCATAATTTTTGTGAGGAGCCAAGAACACATTTAAGGTACAGTCGCTGCTTAAATGACGCAGCCATCTTATAGAGGCTGTCTGAGACAGTAGCAATGCCATGGTCCACGGGGTAGCCAATGGGATGCCAGATGTGATCAAACCCTACACCATTCTCCCCCCACCACCTCATGTCCTGAGAGCAAGGCAATTAGTAAACATCTCTCAGAACTGCTGCGTTGCTCACAGTGCAATCTGCATGGTATTCACCCGACATGTTTATATGCAGCTGATAAGGAAAGCCGGCCCACATCTGTGACAAAAAGAACCATTCTTGTGCCACCTTCTTTTGTTGGGCCTCCGTGGACAAGCTGGTGGGATTGGGGTATTTCTGAAAAGCCAAAGAGAGTGGGAGAAAGGCCAGAACAGGGGAGAGGGGGGCAGGGGGGTAGAGGAGGCGTCAGGGGTGGCTTCGTGGTTGTGATCCCCAGAGGCGCTGGAATCAGAGATGTTTTTGAAGCACCAATGTTGGGCTCCACCTCCCGAGGTTGTGACTTGACTGGGGGTGGGACCCAGCCACTGGCATTTTCCACGCATCCTTGGGGGTTCGGGTAGGCAGATGGGGTTGAGAACCACTGGAGAGCAAGGTCTGGGTGTCAGACAGCTGGGCTGAAAGTCCCAACCCCAACAGGCAGAACTACTCTTCCTGCGTTTCCCTCATATAGTAAAGGATAAGAAAGCCCGGCCGGCGTGGCTCAGTGGTTGAGTGTTGACCTATGAACCAGGAGTCACGGTTCAATTCCTGGTCAGGGCACACGCTGGGGTTGCAGGCTCAATCCCCAGTGTGGGGCGTGCAGGAGGCAGCCGATCAGTGATTCTCTCTCATCACTGATGTTTCTATCCCTCTCTCCCTCTCTGAAATCAATAAGAACATATTTTTTTTAAAAAAGAAAAAACCTATGCCATCGGGTGGCTATAAGCATTAAGTTAGTATATAGAGCATATAGTTGTTTCTCAATAAAGTCCACTCTTCTTCCCTTTAAAGAGGTACCTGAAGTCATCCAGGGGGAGAGAACGGAAGTGAGGGTAACAGAGGGCCGAGCACAGTGAAGGTCCTGGGTACAGGATCGGTGTGTCTGAATCCTTTGTTACCTTCTGTTCTCCCCTTTTTTTTCTGGAAAAAATACCCATGTCCATCAATGGCTGCTCCGCAGGATGTGGTCCTACCCACTCGGTGATTTGCTGGACTTTGTCTGGGCTGGGCAGCTTCTGGGTACCTGCCATCGCATAGTTCTCTGCCTGTGGATGTGAAGCTATCAGGAGAACCTTTTCGTGGGAATAGGATGGAGGCAGGAGGAGACTGACCGGGCCAGAGACATAACTCTTCCGTGTCACACACGCCTTCTACCGCACGCACTGATTTTCTGCCAGCCCAGCCCTTCTAAGACGCCTCCGTGAGACAGCCGGGCATTCAGAGCCCTTTCCATTCTCATCCCTGCACGCACAGCCTACGGGAAATTCTGGAGGCAGCGCATGGAGCTGGAATGAGTAGATAGCAACCATCGATGCCTTTGGTTCGTGGAGCCACCCTGGCCACAAAGGCCAACGTTGTACCCCAGGCCCGATTGTTCTTTATTCCCCTTGCACTTCACAAGCTGAAGGAAATGGGGCGGGGGATACACTTGATCCTCTGCCGGCACCCCTGCCCTGCACTGTTTGGCATCAGCCTGTGTCCAGCGGTGACACAATAGGGTCCCCTCCAGCCGAGGGGGCTGCCTCTGCTCCCTCGTGGGGCGTGGGGCCTTTTATTCTTATGCCTGCCTTTGCGCAGAGCTCCTGCCCGGCCCTGGGCCAGCTCCCTGGGCTCGGGGTCTTTCCCAGTCCACACCCAGGGCTGGGTTTCCCAGTGTTCCCGCTGCAGAATCTCCCGCAGGCAGGGGGCGTCGGCCCGGACATCACAGCCCGGCAAAACGGGCAGGAGAGCGGGGAGGTGACGGTGGTCCTTCCTGCAGCCCCTTGTTCAAGGAACTGCCCGCCCACCAGCCGTCCACCACGCCGTCCAGCTGCCATGTGGTTGGCAGCTCTGCCATTGATGTCTAGAATATTCCAATGGGCAGGATGGCTGCTCTCATGGGCAGGAAGGGACCCTGGATTCGGGGTCCTCCCTTCTCCCTTCCTTCGCCCAGACGCCCCAGCCCTCTTCCCTGCAGTCACCAAGCACGGGAGCCATGCAAGGGTGCAGCTATTTTTACTAGAGTGCGAAGGTCCTCAGGGTACACACTATATTTAGCAGAGGTTAAAGTTCACATTACACCATCAGAGGGGCACAGGGTGAAATCATTAAACAGCCTGTGGACTTTTGCCGCCCTAATCTCTCTTTCGGTTCCTCCTGCAAACACCTCTAGCCCTTCCTTTTCTCAGGGAGAGGGAAAGCTTTTTATTCATTTATTTATTGATATTGATTTCAGAGAGGAAGGGAGAGGGAAAGAGAGAGAGAGAGACATCCATGATGAGAGAGAATCATTGATCGGCTGCCTCCTGCACGCTCCGTACTGGGGATCAAGCGCGCAACCTGGGCACGTGCCCTGACCAGGAATCGCACCATGACCTCCTGGTGCATAGGTCGAAGCTCAACCACAGAGCCACACCTGCCGGGCAGCCCTTTGCTTTTTAGGCCTCGTGTCCCTCCTTGTGCCTCAGATGAGATCTTCCTATAGCCACCAGAACCCTCGAGTTAGCAGGAATCTCTGTGGAAATGTTAAATGGGACCCTTTCCAATGTGGAAAAGCATAGCCTAGAGCAGTGGTCGGCAAACGCATTAGTCAACAGAGCCAAATATCAACAGTACAACGATTGAAATTTCTTTTGAGAGCCAAATTTTTTAAACTCAAACTATATAGGTAGGTACATTGTTATTAACTTAATTAGGGTACTCCTAAGGCTTAGGAAGAGCCACACTCAAGGGGCCAAAGAGCCGCATGTGGCTTGCGAGCCACAGTTTGCCGACCACGGGCCTAGAGAGTCTTAGGAATGCAAGCTGCCCACCTGCAGGCTTGACAACTCTAAAGCAGCCGCCCTGCCTCCCAGCTCCCAGGGGGCTCAGGGCCCTGCTGAACCGCCTCCAGCCCCGCCCAGTTTCTGCCTCTGCTCTGGCACCGGTGGGGATCCAACAGCACTTCTTCAGACAGGGAGTCCTCACCAACCCTCATCGACAGGTTCTCGACCCTGCAGCGAAACTGCGTCTACTGAAACCTGTTTTACCGAAGGTCAGTTGCTCTAAGCAAGGGCTAAGTCCCTGTGGCGTCTCTTCAATGTTATAAGGAAACGGTATTCGAGGACCTGCTGCATCCCCGGCATCAGCTCCGTCTGAGTCTGCGCACCAGGGAGCCCTGCCTGACACCAGGCCCAGGAAACCTTAGTGACCGTCCTTCAATGGCCCGACATTCCGTGGCTGCTTTTGGGGGGGGGGGTAAGGGGACAAGTTCCCACTGTTCCCGAAGCCACGCCGTCTAAAGACTTCCCTCAGTTCCTCAGTGAGCGAACCCAGGTTCTGCTGGAGCGGCCATCGTGTAGGTCACATGCGCAGATGCTCAGGTTTCCTGAAACGCCTGCAGGGTCTCGTTGCATGGGAAGGTTCACTCATTCATATCAGGTCCTCCTGTGGCTTATAAAACACCCCAGGCAACGTCCTCTCTGGGTCTCTAGACTGGCCATGACCTCTCTGCGTCTCTTCCCGTGAAAGTCCTAGAACGCAGGGTCGGGAGCGATGAGTGCGCTCGTTGGGACTGTCGCTGCAGCAGGATGGACTGTCTGGCTGGGGCTGTTCCCCTGGAAGGGCAGCAAGGCAAAGGCAGCTGGGCCCGCAGCTCAGCCAGCCCTGCGAGGGCAGCACCCCAAGGAGAGCAGAAGGGTCCCCACATGTTGGGGGCGGGCAGATCCGGGTGAAATGGAGCGAATGTGGTCCACCCTGTCCCTCCCACGGGATGGGACCTGAGCAGGGGCGGCTGCAGGGCTCTGACAAGGAAGTGGTGGCGGGTGGACTGGGGACGACACCAGAGCTCAAGGTGCCACTGACCAGCCGTGACTTTCCCACGCGTCCTCTGTGTCCCCGGGCTGGGTTTGGGGCAGCCCCAGGGTTTGAAAATGAGCACGAGGTAGGGATGAA